CACTGGAAAAGCTTGTTGAGAAAGATTCGTTAGTGTGTCTTGGGCAAAACTTTGAGATAGGTCCCTTCAGGGCCTGAGTTCAGCCATCAACGTCTCTGGCCAGATTGCAGTTAAGGTATTGTGCCACTTGAGTATTCATGTATATTCAGTATTTCAGACCACTGCCCTTAGGAGGTTTTATTAGAGGAGGATATATGTTCATTTGTTATAAAATTACGCCTGTTTCAATAAAGTGAATATTTGATCTAGTGGTATTTAGTTAATTCCTCCCTTTTGGTTATTAATGTTGTGTTATTCCTTTTTATATGTGGTATTCATGTGCGGTATTGGAAACCCTATATTCTCATTAAGTAAATCAACGTTGCTATAATTAAGTCCCAAGATTTATTACCTAAGTCCCTATTGCCCGTGAGTTCATGATTATTGATTTCTGTCCTTCCTGGGAGATCAGTAATCTAGACACATTCAGGTATTTTAGCAGGAAGGTGATGGCAGTGTACAATAAGATTTTATTCCTTATTTTTAAATTAATAAATCCTTCATTTGTTGCTCTTTCCCCCCCCCCCCTCATTTAATATTTCAGTCTTAAATTAATATCAACGGGTAGTTCACTGAGGGTCACAGCGATCCGCAAGCAATGTTAAGTTGGGTATTGAGTGGGTAAAGGGAAGAACAGGTCAGGTTATTACACCCCAATAGCAAGAAAAGGCCGCTGGGTCGTTCATCACAGGAAAACAAAATATAAAATAAAGTTAAAAGCAACAACCATTAATCAAATCCAAATGAAAATTAAAATGCATTTGCTAACAAAACCACAGGAATATTCTGTTACGTTGTGTATATTATTACAAATGTTTACCCATGTGAAGACATAAATTACAACTCGCCCCATTAAGATTGGCGAGGTTATAGAAGCCTATATAGAGGCTATATAGAGTACTTGTACTGCTGAGAAAATTATAGCTATTGAGTAGTTATTACACACAGAAATCACAATAGCGTGATGCATCAAATGAACAAATCCATAAGGTGGATTTGTCGTAGCTAAGTCGATTAATGCAGCGTCTGGGATCCTCTTGGACGTAGGTTCGAACCCTCGTCATGGCCCTTGTGGATTTGTTTATGAGTAGTTATTATTTATTCGCAATATCCGAAAAGCTCCGTTTCTGGTTGTTGAGCATCGGGACTATAGAGAGGAAGTGGGTGGCTGGCTGGCAGGTCTGTCAACAAATAGCAGTAGTACTTCATCATGTTTATCTCATAAACAATTTCGCATTAATTTGAAATACTTTAAAAGAGTAGGCTCAAATTTCGCTCATTCTTACAAAATAAAATTATTACCTCTTAGAGCCTTATTAAGGCTAACAAGGTTTAGTAAGATCTCATAAACTGAGATAAACAATCACACACACACACACACACACACACACACACACAGGGCCTCACGGCTGAGGGGACAGCGGTTGGGGTCGAAGTCCAAAGGGCCCGTGTTTGATTCCCGAGCGAGTCAGAAACAAATGGCCAGTTTTGTTCACCTGATGCTCCTGTTCACATAGCAGTAAGTAGGTACCAGGGGTGTAGACGGCTGCTTCCTGGGAATGTGTGTGTATTTACTATTTATGTCTGCTGAATCGAGCTATTTAGCTCTTGGACCCCGCCTTTCTAACCAGTCTATTTTTCCTATATTTTGTCTACTACATATATTTCTCTCTAACACACACACATCCCCAGGACGCAGCCCGTAGCAGCTGTCTAACTCCCAGGTAATATGGGTCACAACTGGTTCAACGTTAACTTCGTGTTACTTGTGCATATTATGCCCACAGTTGTATAATATTATATGTTGGCCTTCTCGGAACTGGCAGTAAACCAGGTATAGGCTGTTATAGAGGGCAATACGAGCCTGCACTGCTGACCTTGGGACTTATGTCTCTCCACCTGGCTCACTTCTGAGGCCACTTTCAGCAGGTGCAATACTCCAGACACACTCCACACCCCGCTACATGCCCGAGGATGTTGAGTGCTCCACACCCCGCTACATGCACCAGGGTGTTGAGTGCTCCACAGCAACGGAAGCTCCATGATCATTCCAGGACGTGGCTCCCAGGGGCCCTAAGACGACTTTCATATGTTTCTGTGAGTTGATCAAACTCCTCTTCTTGTTCATATTAGAGCTGGAAGTAACTCCAAGGCATCGATAGTGGTCAACTCATTCAGGAACTTCACCATTAATTTGTAGGTCTTCGTTTTCCTTCCTCTTGTGATGGGGTACGAGTTTGTCTTGTGTAGAGAGTGAAGTCAAGTTCAGTACATTTTCTTCCAGAAAGTTGAATGGACTGTTTCATCTTTACGAGGGCTTGGTACACGCCCTCATAAAGATGAAGCAATCCATTGCAGCAGTTCATCATCGGCATATCTCACTTGTACTCCTTCTGGAAGCTCTGTTGTGGCTATGGCATTCATTAATTGGTTTAATAGGCTCAAGACTCTTCCTTCAGGAATCCAAAGCTCCATAGTCTTTGTGCTTGAGACTGCTCCACTAAGGTAACTTTCATCTTCTTCCCGTGAGATCGTCTTCAGTCCATTCTAGGAATCCCACCTGGACACCCATGGGTGCAGGCTCGTCTAGGATCGCAATTCCTTGTGCTTTATCGTAAGTTCCTTTCACGTCAGCAAACACAGAGTACTTGGATGTCTACTTACCTATTACCTATTAGTGTCTATTGAGGGAGTTAGGTCTAGCTCTTTATGCCCCGCCTACTACCCTTGTACCTGATGCGTTACAACCTAAGTACTCTGATTATCAAATTCTTTGTCGAATCGTGCCTATTGGAGGTGGCTTCCACAACTTCCTCTGTTAGAGCATTCAACTTGTTAACTATCCGTGTACAGGTACGAGTACCTTCTTATGTCCTTTCGGCTCATTTGCGTTTCCAGCTTCCACCTGTGTCCTCTTGTCCTGCTTTCTCTCAGTCTGAAGAGACTATTCTTTGTTTTTAGTCCACTTTATGTATTCCCCTCAGTATCTTGTAAGTTGTGATCATATCCTTCTATTCTCTAGGGTAGTGATATTTAGTCCCATTAGCCTATGTTCATATTAACTCGCTTAACTCTGACACCAATCTTGTTGCAAACCTCTCTACTTTTTAAATTTTAGCTTTGTGCATCATTGGCTAATTGGCTAAATAATTAAGAAATCCATGAATCCCTTCCTCTAGTCAATCTATTGTATGTGAGAGTCGACTTTGAATGATCCTCCCAAATATGTAGCGCGTAAAAGATACGAGACTGATAGGCCTCTAATGAATAATTTGCACATCAGTTGATAGATAGTTGAGAGGCGGGACCAAAGAGCCGAAGCTCAACCCCTGCAAACACAAACAGGTATGTTCAATTAAGAGAGCACACTCACTCGCCTGTCCATACCCAATCTTATCCTCTCTATCCCATTATCGCATAACCTTTCCTAGCCTCCGCATTACCAGTCCATTCCCTACCCTGCCTGCAACTCCTCCCCCCTGCTAAACCCACCCATCCCCGCCCACTCCCCCCATCCCCACCAACCCTGCTCCTGCCGCCCATGTACGCCCACCCGGCCCAAGACACTACGCCCACACGCCCTTCGCGAGAAGCGCGTATGCAGGATGTAGGCTGGAGGCGTCCCTCAAGGAGGTACTTAGGAGGTGCTCGGATTGCAGTGTATGTGCAGCTAGTGGGCGAGAGGCCGCACTGAGGTGAGGTGCGGAGACAGGCGAGGGGGTGCTGCGTGTTGTGGAGGGGGGAGGGGGGCATTGGGTGAGGGAAGGAAGTAGTGAGCGTGAGGTAGAGTGTGTGAGGGTGGTGGTGGAAGGAACCAACAAACAAATGCCTCGTAATATTTAAGCGACGATGTCAATAAATTAGCGATTCATAAATGTGTTGTCACAAACAAGTGTATCTTGAATGTTTATATACCAACTTGCATTTTATTCACTGGAACCTTGCATAAGCTTAGTTCACTTATCATGCACCCCATAACCATCCTGTGAGCTGTGGTGGACTTTATACCCATCCTGTGAGCTGTGGTGGACCTCATGCCCATCCTGTGAGCAGCAGCACAAAAGGTTACAGAGGCTCATAAAAGTCCCCTGGAACTGTACCCAGAAATTAATTTTGCTAAACAAGTTACAGTGTTGACAAGCTTATTACACAGTTTGTTTCGAGTTCAAGAACTAGACCACAGCAAGCTAAGCAGCACCGCTTTGTGAGATAAGCTTGTTCTATTTAATTTTATTTGCTTGTGCACAGCCGCATCTGTGCAGTGCACAGCGGTGGAACAGTCACCTGTGTGCACCTGTTGTTGGCAAACTTGGGATAACTGGCAAAAATTTCTGGCAGCAGGTCGTTTTGAGTTAAACTCTTACATATTTCTCTATCATTTGCTATAGACTTGTCTCCGCAATTATTTTATCTTTTCGCACTCCATCACTTAGTGACGGAGGGTGTGCGAATAGTTTTGTTGACACAGTTTACATTTGGCTAGGTCTACATCAGCAGGTAATGTATACTCCCAGAGATACTTATTGTCGAGTCTAAGCCGAGCAGTAGTAACATCTCGGAGTCTGCTGATTGTATTAGATGGCCCCTAGATGTGTGGCTCTTCTCGCATGATAGTACGGTGATGGATCAAACTGCTAGTGTAGGTTTCACTTTGTCTATGATTTACAGGGGGGTTTTGTTGAAGTTTTTGGTGTGTTACTGCTTTCAAGTTGCTAATACGCAATCCAAAGATATTCTTAACTCCTCTGAAGGCAGATTCTCTGGCTAACCCACCAGCTCTAGGCGGTCAGTAAATTTACTGATATAATAAAGTACATTCGCAAGGAGAGAGTGGATTAGGCTATTCCTACCCTCCTAACATTCAGAGGCCAGGGCCTCGTGTGCTCTGGCAGGCAGGTGTGTGGCAAGTAGTCCCGTGTGAGTGGCGGGAGAGTAACCATCTACCGTTTCCTTTGTTACAGAGAAGTTGTGTCTTCCGCAAGTCTGGCAGTCACTAGGGAGTCCAGGGCGTCACGTGATCACCAGAAACATCACTTCCACACCACCAGCAACATTGTGACTACGGAGCTGCCGCCTCACCACTCCTGACTTCATACGCCACTTGAAACACCAATTATCACTTAACGACATCAAAACGTGACATGTCATGCCCCTTTGTAACGCCATCTTCGCAACGTCTTAAATAACAACGTAACACCGCCGCGTGTGACGTCGAGAGCACTGTGTTATCACTGTCACTGAACCAATCACGACATACGACTCTGCGTGTGACGTCACCGTTATTGACCCAATCACGACTATACGACTGTGTGACGGCACCCTCAGAGACAATCACGACAATACGACTCAGCGTGTGACGTCAGGAACACTGTGACGTTACTCTTGAGACACCAATTACGACACGACGACTAAGAATGACTCTACGCTTACTCATCCACCTCGCTCTGGCAGCCACAGGTGAGTTAGAAACATGTGTTTGTTAATCTGGTTAGTCTGTACACACACACACGTGCACTCACAACTCTATACCCTCGCACATCTGTACACTCACACATCTGTACACTGCTCATACACCTGCGCAAATAAGTCATGTTTCTGTAACTCTGTGCTTGTTCAGTATGTACAGGCTGAATATTTATATAACGTTAATGACAGTTACTCCTAAACATCACAACACTAGCTGTGATTGACAACCTGTCGCACATTAGTGCATCCTTGTCTTGCATATTTAACAAGCCATTAGAGTCGAGAAGAGCACCTTATCGTTGGAGCTGAGAATGTTATGCCCATTTTTAAAGTGGGAAAGATCACTAAAGTCGGACTGTTCGCCAACTAGCTTGACGTCAATTATCGAAATATTTACTTGAATCGATAATAACAAATGCCATTCGTAATAAAGGATTCACAATCATATTAATAATGGATTCACAATATGGCTTTATTAAGGGCCGCTCGTGTTTAAGGAAATATAAACATTTTCCAGAATATCTGAATCAGTAGATGGCGGAAGAGAGGGAGGTGTTTTATACCTTGACTTAGGAAAACCTTTGATACAGTGACTCACGGGTGAGCAATGACTCAACAGAGAGGTAGAGGTATTGGAGGGGGTCGTCTTAAGGTGAAATACGCCATGGTTACTGCAATGGAAACGCAGTTAATATAGATGGTCAAGTTCAAGTGGGAGACCGCAGGGTGTGTTGTGCTCGGGTACTCCATTCACGGACCTCTGAGGCTTGTCATATCTATTCACGATTTAAACTTAGGATTCATAATGCTAAAATATGACCGTAAGTAAATTCTGAGTACTCAATATCACTATAAAACGGTTTGGATAATCTTTTAAAGTGGACGAAATTTTGGCAGATAAAGTTTACTGTTGACACATGTAAGGTTCAAAGCCTAGTAAATGATAGATTCCAGGTAGCAGTTGGACAATGTTTACATTGCTACATCGGAATACGAAAGAGATGAGATACATGCCAGGCAGCTCCTATTTATAACCAACCAATTATAAACCTATTTATACCCAACCAATAATAAAAATAAGGTATTATTGCAAGCGTATACACACAAGATAGATGAGCAGTGGAGACTGAGGGAGGAGGCTACAACGCATACAGCCGCCAGTACGCAGTTTCTCACACAACGCAGATATAATTATGAAAATTATGCACAAGTGCAACGGGGTAATATTTACTACTAAATGAGATAAGGTAGCACTCTTGAATTATTGTAAGGAATAAGAAAATGGTTGATAATGTTTTAAGAGGTATTTACAACAGTAGAGGTTTTACAACAGTACATAGTAATTAATTATATTATTGTAGATTATATTTAATAAATTATATACAGTTTAGAAACTGTAATATTTAGAAACGGTAGTATGTAGTAGCAGAAAATATATAGTAATTAATTATCATAATAACAGCAAATTACGGGCGAACATTTAAGATGAGACATGAAATTAATTAGGAGTAAAAGAAACGAGAAACGTATGAAATAATATACATATAGAAAATACTGGTGGGCCAGGTCCCAAAGCCACACAGTAAAATAACAACATACTGGAGTGAACGATAGGGAAGGAAATGCAGAATAGAAGCAATGAAGAGCAGAGGTGCCATAGGCACAATTAGAGAACACTGTATAAACATCAGAGGTCCGCGGATGTTCAACATACTCCCAGCGAGCATAAGAAATGTTGCCCGAACTAACGTGGACATCAAAAGAAAACTTGATAGTTTTCTTCAAATAGTGCCGGACCAACCGGGCTGTAGTGAATATGTGGGCCTGCGGGCCGCTCATAGCAACAGCCTATTGAACCATGCTCTGGGAACCAAAACTCCCAGAACCCAATCTAGCACGTACAATCTGCTATCATCCCTCTTCCTCAGTTTTATCTGCGGTCAATATTCTGGAACGTTTTGTGTTCCTGACACTCCTATGCTTATTGTTTGTTATGTCTAAAATAAATACACACACATATTATATATATATATATATATATATATATATATATATATATATATATATATATATATATATATATATATATATATATATATATATATATATGCGGAAAATCCACAGAGAAATAATTTCGTATATATATATTTCTCTGCGGATTTTCCGCATAAAATGATCAGTGTTTTGTGATCGTCAATTGCATATATATATATATATATGTCGTACCTAGTAGCCAGAACGCACTTCTCAGCCTACTATGCAAGGCCCGATTTGCCTAATAAGCCAAGTTTTCCTGAATTAATATATTTTCTCTAATTTTTTTCTTATGAAATGATAAAGCTACCCATTTCATTATGTATGAGGTCAATTTTTTTTTATTGGAGTTAAAATTAACTTAGATATATGACCGAACCTAACCAACCCTATCTAACCTAACCTATCTTTATAGGTTAGATTAGGTTAGGTACCTGAAAAAGTTAGGTTAGGTTAGGTAGGTTAGGTAGTCGAAAAACAATTAATTCATGAAAACTTGGCCTATTAGGCAAATCGGGCCTTGCATATTAGGCTGAGAAGTGCGTTCTGGCTACTAGGTACGACATATATATATATATATATATATGAACACGTTGTACTGAACGGGGTGAGAATACCTTGAGCTACCTCATCCCTGTGTGTGTGTGCATTTATACCTCAATAAACTTACTTCAATTTCATTTGTCACTTTCTGCGGGGATGTTCCCTTGGCCTGCTCACAGACTTTTGTCCGTCTCCACATATAAGCTATACAACAGTTTTGACTAAATTTTACTATGGCTTCTATGTTGTTTTCAGATTATTTTTCTGCTCTGCTGCACCAGACTCTGGTGTAGGCATTTATGGTTCTCATTAGTTCCCTTTATTTTCCCGCGTGCTATGTTTTCTATAATTTGTCCGGTCTAACTCTAACCTGCTTTATATATTGAATCACAGGTTAACTTGCTTTATCTTGTCGATTTCCTTCGTGAATATGATGAACTGTTTTTGGCATCTACACATTTCTGGATTACGAAATCAATCTCATGTAGCAAATTTTCTCATTCATTTTCCCCATTGGACTTCCTAGTAGTGTCCTTGCTATCCTGTAGTCCCCTCGTCTATAGTGAATCTAGTACATTCCTCGACCTATTTCCTAGTCCTCTGGTAGGTTAGGATATGGGACTTTAGTACAACAGTTTCTTGACGTTGGGAAACCTCTGGAGGACGGGCTGCACATTTGGGGGGGGGAGGAGGCTATTATGTTACTAGGCTATTTTCTGTGCTTAAAACATTCAAGCATTAGGATTTTAACCCTTATTCTCTTGCCAGTGTAGCCGCATTATAAACTACCTACAGGCAGTTTTCGTCGTTATATGTCTCCCTGGATCATCTGGTATTCAGTGGGGGATGTAAATGATCACAACCACAATATCATCTTACTCTCCGCGCTTATCATACCTAATGTGTAGTCCAGCTGGCTGGTTACCTCTTATACATTTGTTTGCTCAAAGTTCTACCGTATCAGCAGCATTATGGCTACACACTGCTACAGATCTACAGTTTCTCCTTTTTTTATTTGGTATTTTCACTTCGTTATATCTCCTTCGTTATTCTTTTTCGTGTTTGCTCGGTCCTTGTATTTCTCGCGTGTTGGCAGGTTTCACTCCTCTCGGACACGGACCTCTAGTGACGTTAAAAATCTCCATATAGCCATGTTTATCTGTGGGAGGCACTCCTTGTCCTGAATAGGTATCGCGTTCTTTCTCCCGTCGACGGCTCTGCCCTTCTTGTCTTTCATGATAAGTAATTTCTTGTACAATTTTTATGTATTTCACCAGTCGTTCACGATGCTGCTGCTGCTATGGGTTTCCTGTTGTCTATGCTGAGGTCCTTCGTATTTAATGTGCAGCCGCCATTATTTTAAGACCTCCCTTAAGTGTCGAGTGTCTGGAAGATTTAGAGGTCAGACTCTTGAGGTGGAGAGGCCGCGATATTTAACTCAGAACCTTTATAAGTGTTGTGAAATAATCCCAATCCCCCTCACTCTTCCCCTTCCCTCCACTCACCTCCCCCCCCCCATCCTTTCGGCGTTACCTACAGAAGTGCGCAAGTGCAAACGTATCACTTCCCTTCCTTTACCTTTATATAATTTACAATATATCTGTCCTTACAAGAGCCTTGTCATTTTTATTTCAACTCCATTTAAAAAACTTTAGGATTTTGACCAAGTATATGTTTAAAAGAGAACTATATCCTCGTCACGGCCCTTGTGGATTTGTTTATTTGATACATCGCGTTAGTGTGATCTCTGTGTGTAAGAGAACTATATGTACGGATAGCACAAAACATCCACTAAACAGTGTGACATTGTGGTTGCCAGAATTATGCTGGGAGGTGGGTGCAGGTAATGAATCCCCCAATGATGAACATTCCAATTGTAAACTATATGTACAAGAGTTAGGCCATATTCTCCAACATTGTATTTGTGATTGCCCTGTTCTTGGTGACTTCAGACCAAATTATATGAGGTACTCTGAGTTCAGTAACTACTTCACACACTCAGGAAAGTTGGAAGATATTCCTGTTCTCTACCCAGAGTTTACCAGTGCTGGCTAGTAGTACAGACTCGCAAATCATGTTCTTTCCCAGATTCAGAGTATGACTAACCATATTCAAAACTACTGTACCTCACCAGGATGCAACTCTATAACTAGTGAGTACCGATTTACTTCTAGATGAACAGAGGCATTAGGTGATCCGAAACGAGCCCAACTATTTCTGTCCCGCTTGGGATTCCAACCCGTATTTCTACATTGTCTCGAGAACGAACTCATCTTTACTACCGAAACCCTTAGCTAGCTTTTGATCCAAACTCTGTAACCCTTCATATTGAATAGCGTAGCAGCATATTTCTGAATGTACCTAAGCTTATTAATAATTAAAAACGATGGAAAGCTGAGGCAGTTCTAGTCGTT